GGGGGGGGGGGTCGGATCCGCTTCATCGACAAAACATTGAGAAGAAGCGTAGATTCATCTTGGCCGATCGCGACGCTGTTTCGATTTTCGTGCTGCTTTTCATTTTGTGGCTCTAAATCGTGGCCGTGTAGCATAAACCATGCCCTGGTGGTGGCACAAGTTCTGCGCTCCTCCCCTGTTCAGCCGTCCTCGACAAAGAGGAAAAAAGACATATCCATCCAACTATTTATACAGTAGCGTGCAGGAAGTCCGACATCCCCCGCCTAAATATATGCGTATGACTGCAAGCATCCGCCGTCCGCGGTGACCCCATGGGGGAACCGAAGGCCATCGCATCGCAAGAGAACTCACGTCGCGTTCGCTTGACCCTGCCGAGAATCTTCATGATCTACTACAGTCTTTACAACGATTGGAAGACTGAAGGGGGAACAAAGTCAACGCATCTTAATTCTTGCCTGAAATACGAAGTGTATCATGTCTAATTAATGTCAATCTATCTGTGGTTCTCAGTCGCCCTATCCGCGAGTGAACCTGACGAGAAGCAATATCCAAGTGCGCCAACATAATAGCAGTTGGTGACGGTGTCCGCGTCTGCAATACATCGCAACACAACGGGAAGCAGATCCTCTGATACCATGACATCGTCGCGCAACTGCTCTCTCTCTCTCCTACTCCTTGCGGAAGAAGCAGAAGATCTTATGTGTACAGCAGTGGATCGCTGCGATGCCAAGTACCGCACCCTTTCTGGAAAAAATGGATGGATACGTGTCCGATCGAAAGACGTTTAGACAATATCCGCTCGAGAAATACCACTACGCAATAGAACGGGTGTATTGAAAGTCTTTTCTTTGGAGGGACCCCTTGTACAGATTTCCCTCTCTGACAAAACAAAGAGGGTTTGCATCAGCATGAACGGTAAATCCCTCCGTCCCCTTCCGCCCGCATTCCCCAACCGCACACCCGGTGCGAAACGTTTCGTGCATTGGTTCGGTACAAATCCTTTTCGAACTTGTGGAAACCCCATTTTCTGCCAGGTAGTCCATTTTGCAGCTCTATCCATCGGGTATCCCTTGCCCGTGTTCGGCGTGATAGTCGTCTTTCCCCCTCCCTTCAACTCTCTCCCGGCTGGTACAATGGTAAGGCTACCTCGTACTCGGCGATTTTTGTCACTGTATCGGCGTAAGATCCGTTCTGCACCATGCGAAACATGCCTTTTTTGAAACAGCAGTGGGCGTCAGAGACTGCTGTAGAGAATGTCGCCAACGTAGAGTAACCAGTCGAGGACGTGGCAAGCGCAACTGCTGTTTACATGTTGATGATGGGGGACAGGTGGTTGTCGTGGTGGAGATATTTCCGCCCCCGCATAGTTGCCATGGTCGTACGTAGGTTGTGCACAAAACACAACCTGTCAAACAATGCTTGGTGAGGTGCCTGTTCCCCCGCTGGTAATTCGGCGGTACGCAAGGCTGCTGCGCACTACATAGCCGCTGCGTGGGGAGGGCTTCGAGCCACACGTGGGTCTCTGAACTATCGCTGCCACCGCTCGACACCAAACCTTATGACTAATATCTCAAAGCATGTTCCACGCCAAGGCTTGGCTGCTTGGCCTCAAGAGCCTCGGCTACTGCTAATATAGATAGACTACAGGGATCTACGCAAGGGAGGGAGGAGGTCGTAGAGGCGGACTTGCTCCAGGTGTACCAAGGAGCTTTGTCGGCACCAGTCCCGGGACTGTGCACCCGTGGAAATCAAGTCTTCACTACCTGCATTCATGCCGCTGCATAATTGCTGCACGCCGATCTGTATCTGTATTCATAGTATCTGCTGATGCTGCTGCTGCTGCTGCTGCTGCCGCCGCCGCCGCTGCTGCTGCTTCGCCGTGTCCTTGACACCGGTTCTGCTGGAACGCTGGCGGTACCGCTTGTGCTGTCACAAAGTACCGGGCTACGCATCGATCGGAGAATGCCCACGAGGAGGGAATCTGGAGTGTAGCTTGGACCGAGGCAGACAACATCCTGTCCGGGAGCGTTGACGAGCGCGCGAGAGTATGGTGAGTGATAAGACAGATAGTGTCAACAACACCTCCTCGACCGTACAGGTTTTAGAAACAAACCATTCGCCGATGATCATGCGTTGTTTGCTGCGAAGCGTATTCCGCAACTCTCTCTACGTCAGAGGAACTCAGCAAACCTCAGACACGAAAGTTGACTATTCCGTAGGAGACATTCACAACGGCAGTTCCACGTTTGGCGACTGCTTTATTGATGGTTGGCTGTTGACGCTCATGAATTCCGTTTCGCTCAACCCCGTATGCATAGGAGCCCCCGCTCTCCAACGTCTCCGTTTCGTCCGGGACAAGAAACCATGGTAGAAATCACGGTAGATTTGCCTAGGAATGATTTAATGTTTGTCTGTGGAATGTCCACAAACACGAGTCAAGAACCTGTGGAGCCGCTTCGCCGCACCCCCACCCGCTGTTTTGTTCTGCTTTCCTCGACATAGGTCGTTGGAGTTGGCCCCCGTGCACTCTCTCAACGGCCACCGTCTAGGGGTCTTGAGCGTTCGGGCATTCAACCACGGCAAAGGTGAACATGCGTCGCTTGTTGCGGACATACTGGAGTGGGGCGGGGCGCGCGTTGTGTTTTGCTGGGTGGTTGGGCGGACGGAGCGCGTCGGCGGCGGTAGGAAAAGGAGGGTGGCAGGAAAAGGCAGTTGAGGCTTGAAGCCGTGAGGTGGGGTCTGAAACCGCTTGCTTACTGCCGAATCTGAAAGAGAATCAATTGTCTCGAAACCATCGTTGGTAGGGGTGGTTCGGCACACGCTTGTCGGAGGGTCTTCGAATATATGCTGGCTGTGCGCTGACGCTGCTCGACTGAGGCTAAGTGCTTCCCGCGGTTCTCGGGGTGCACTTCGTCTTGCTTCGGTGCGGCACATGAAGACTGACCATATCATCAGGGCTTGCTTTCCTGCACGCTCCCCTGGGTTTCGGCGTTGTACTGTAGGATCCCAAGATATTTCTCAATTATGGTGCCCTATCGCTTGGACCACCTATCTCAAGCCCACGGCAACCCGCGACCCGCCCCCTGTGCACTTCTTCTTACACACACACGAATGCGTTCACGCACGGATCGTCCCGTCGACGCGTGCCCGTGACCCGCAGAGGCGGTGTCAAGCTCGATCGATAGCTGCATCCGATTCTGGGACTTGGAGAGCGGGGAACAGACCGCTGTGGAGGAGCCAGGACCAGGTAAGGCGGCGAGGGCTAAACGTCACATGTACCCTGGCAGACGCTTCGCTACGATATCCTGTACGGGGAGGGTGTTGTTGTTATTGCAGATGTTGTTGTTGTTGTTGTTGTTGTTGTTGTTGTTGTTGTTGTTGTTGTTGTTGTTGTTGTTGTTGTTGTTGTTGTTGTTGTTGTTTGTTTTTGTTGGTGGTGTGCTGGTAGTGTTAGTGTGGTTGGTGTGGTTGGTGCCGTTGGTGCCGTTGATGTTATTGTTGGTATTGTTGTCTTGCCTCTCATTCATCCCAGCATGCATGTGATGCTTGTCCTGCGTCTTCGTTCTTTTCTCTTCCTCTGTCGATTCGTGCCTTTCTTCTCGCCCCATCCATGTAGAGATACCGCCCCCCCCCCCCCCCNCTTTTTTTCTTCTTCTCCCCTTGACGTTTTCCTATGGCAGTGGAGGCGTGGACGTTGGCGGTGAGCACGGACGACAAGCTCCTGGCGTCGGGGACGCAGAAGGGATCCGTCAACCTCTGGGCTTTGGATGGGCACAAAAAGGTAACCAGATAGCGGTATGGGCGGATATATCCCCACCCCTGGATAGACTGACCCAAACCCACCTGTGTCTCGCCTGCGTGGTTGCTACCCAATGAGGTGCGACTCGCTGCTATGGCATGCGGGTACAGGCATCGTCGCCGCCGTGTTTGGTGGGCAGGTTAGGCTTGATTTTCCACACATGCGCGCACCGCCAGATATATTATGATATATATGGCTGACCCGAGTGGGATATATTAGAGTCGGCACGCACGAAGCCGGGGCTACAGGTCCGACAAAGGGGGGTAGGTGGTTGTCATGGGAATAACATCCAGTGGCAACGCGGGGATTCGGCTGCGGCCTCAAACAACATTGAGAGTTGTGCGCTCATCTGCTTACGTCGCCGCGAGAGCAGAGATGTAACCGGCGGATGCCGCAGAAGGATTTTTGTGGTTGAGTTGAAAAGTCAATTTTTGAATTGAGCTTCTTGCTTGTTAGCTCGCATCCTCGGCCATCCAGTTGTCTGGGGGCCGAGATATGGTTCGCCGAATGGTATGTGAAAAAAAAACTCCACGGGTCGAGGGACTTGGTCATCAGCCGCATCTACTACTACTGCTGCTGTATGCGTGTCTCAATATTGTGTGAAAACGAGGGCTTCGTTCAGGAGATGCTTGGGCGTGGAATATCCTCAAGGAATGACATCCGAACATGTCTTCCTCCCAGATCCGCTCACAGCTATCTGCCTGTCATCGCCATGTTTCGCGATTTGTCCCGCCAAGAGATACCGCACCGTGCGAGGCCCGTTCTAGGCGCAAAACCCCTCGACCACACCGCCGTTCTGCCTCGTTTCAGTGTTGTGTTGCGCTAACGCTTGAGTTGCTGTGTTGCTGGTGGGGCAGGTGGCATCGATGGAAACTAGAGACAAGTTCGTGATGAGCGTGGCTTTCAGCCCCGACAACAAATACCTGGCCTCGGGGGGACTGGACGGGTTGGTCAACATCTTCGATGTCGAAGTGAGCTTGTGTTTAGGCAGACAAAAAATGGGCGAGCTGTTGTGTCCAGCACTGTTTGCCGCGCCGGGGTGGGGGGGTACTGATAGTCGCGCTGGCCGCAGTCGTTCGATCATTGAGCTCGCGTTCGTACGAAGCCGGGACGGAGCGCGCCAGGTTCCCACCGGACCAGGCTCTCACATCAAACTTGATCGACTTCATAAGTCGCGAGGGAAGGGATTACTGTACCCTTCTCGCGATAAAAATACCTCAGGCAGGAACCGCAGGAGGGGGTCCAACCCCCCCCTCCTATGTGACCCCGGTTGGGTCATCTAGCTGGTAGAAGTGGAGGATAGGAGCCAGAGGGGCAGACGACAGAGTCCAATCATGGGAGAAAAAAAAAAAATCACCAAGCGCGAAGCACCTTGAGGTACTCGGCGAGTCGCATGGACTGTGCGCGGCATCCTCCTTGGAGTGTTCGGCATCTTGTGCTTACTTCCTTACATACTGATGACAGCTGCGAATGACTTTCATCTATTTTCTGGTGCTGTAATTTCCAGACGGTAATAAGCACTGTGTAACTGCCTCGAGGGTGCTTGACCAATTGAACACAACGTGGTGCGATCATCCCCTTTGCGTGGAGTGAGGGTTGTCGACCCCGCACAATATGGTCTATACTCGACCAACATGTCGGACGCACCTGCTCAAGACTCGACTACAAATCTTACCAGCGGAGGTTAGGGTAGGGAAACGGTACTTGTTGTGGCCGGCGCGGGATGTAAATCCACGACCACCTGCCCAAATTTTGACCCCAGCTAACCAGGAGATAATAAACGACTTAAAACACCCAAAATCCAACAGGAGGGGTGCGGAAGTTATGGCCTACTCAAACGATCACGCTTTGGTCCGTGTTTGTGATGAAATATACGACAACCACCGATTGCATTGCACCCCCCCCCCACCGCCACCATCCGCCGCCGGCCGCTTCGCCACCATGGCCATTAGCAAGCTAAGCTGCACCAAAAGCTGGAGGGCCACGCGATGCCCATCCGCAGCCTGTGCTTTTCAGCGGACGGCTCGCTGCTCTTCACGGCGTCGGACGACATGCGGGTCAACGTCTACGATGTGTGAGTTCTCAGCGAAACAAGCTCACTCTCTTGTGTTCCGCGCGTGGGACGCGTAATGATTAAGAAGCATACAGTGTTGCTTAGGTGCTCGCGGCGCTGTCGCTACCTGTGCTGGTGTTGTTTTGCCCACGCTGCGCTTGGGTGATGCTGTTTATCGGGTGACTCTTCGTCGGTACTTGTGCTGGGTTTGGCCTGTAGGTGTTCCCTGTTTTTGTGCTGTTGCTTGATGTTGACTGTCCTGTCTCTCTCGCTCTCTTTCTCTCTGTCTCTCGAACTCTACTTGTATATCTCCCCCCCCCCCCCCCCCCCCCCCCCCCCCCCCCCCCCCCCCCCCCC